CGTAGGAGCTTGTTGGGGGTGAAGACTGTATACATGCTTTTGGAGGAGTGGGTCCTGGAAGGGCGCCTTGGGATGCCCTGGTTTGTGTTTGCTAGGTGCCAACCACTTGGCTTTGGCTCATAGCAACCATGGGTGCAGCAGAATTAAACCCCTCCCTGTCCTGCTCCACCTGCACCACGGTTGTGATATGTGAGCCATGGTTGTAGCCACTGTATCAGTCCATCTCATCCAGGGACTTCCTCTTGGTTACTCCTTGGACTGCTACCTGCAAGGTCAGGAGGTCGCCAACTCACAGGGGCAGGTCTACGCCCCCCTATAGAGTCACTATGAGTCAGAATTGAGTCCATGGAAGTGAGTTTGGGGTTTTTTTGGCTTGGTTTTAACTTTACTAAGCACCATGTCCTTCCTTTTCCAGGGACTAGTCCCTCCTGATAGCGGTCCAAAGCACACACCACAAAGTCTCTCCATCTTCCCTAGTCTAAGGAACAGTCTGATGTACTGTTTCCAAGACACATTTGTTTGCTCTCCTGGCAGTCCACGGTACTTTCCATATTTTCGCCCAACACCATCATTCACCTGCCTCAATTCTTCTCTGGTCTTCCTTATTCTTTGATCCACTTTCACATGCCCAAGAGATGACTGAAAATCCCATGGCTTGGGTCAGGGCGACCTTAGTCCTCAAAGGGACATGCTTGCTCTTCAATACTTTCAACAGGCTTTGTGCAGCAGATTTGCCCAGTGTAACATGTCCTTCGATTTCGGGACTGCTTCTTCCATGAATGTTTATTGTGGATCCAATCGAAATTAAATCCTTGACAATCTCGAGCTTCTTTTCAGTTTATCATGATGTTGTTGTTGGTCCAGTTTGCTGTATGTACATATTTAAATATAGTTATATATGATGATGGGGACATAGATCTATGTGCATATATTTATAGATTTAGTAAGGTAGCAGATGGACATTGGGCTTCTACTCAAGTACTCCCACAATGCAAGAACACTTTATTCTATTAAACTGGCATTCCATGATGCTCACCTTCCCGACACGATCACTGAAGACAAATGGGTACATAAGCAAATGTGGTGAAGAAAGCTGATGGTGCCCGGCTATCAAAAGATATAGTGTCTGGGGTCTTAAAGGCTTGAAGGTAAACAAGCGGCCATCTAGCTGAGAAGCAACAAAGCCTACATGGAAGAAGCACACTAGCCTATGTGATTATGAGGTGTCGATAGGATCAGGTATCAGGCATCAAAGAACCAAAAAATCATATCATTGTGAATGAGTGGGAGTGTGGAGTGTGGACCCAAAACTCATCATATGTTCATGCCTGTATTTAGACCTCTATAAATGCCCTTTGCCTCTCAGTTCCTTCCTCTATTTCCTTTTACTTTCCTCTTGTCCCACTATCATGTTCAGCCTTCATTTGGGTTTCAGTAATTCCTCTCAGTTACATTGCCCTTGGTCAAGCCCTACCAGGCCTCCTACACCTACCTCAATTTTGGATCACTTGTCCCTGGGGTTGTTAATACCCACTTCCTTTCCCCTGCCTCCCCCGCTCCATGTCCCCCGCAGAACCTTCGGTCCCATTGTTTTCTCCTCCAGATTGTTTATCCCACCTATCTTATCGAGATACCTGCAGAGATAATACTATGCACAAAAAATAAGACAGAGCAAATGCGCTTTACACAATTGATGTGTGTATGGATTGGGATAACAGTTGTATGAGCCCCTAATAAAATGTTTAAAAAAAAAAAAAAAGACAGAGCAAAACAGAGCAACAAAAGAAAACAACAACAACACAAACAAAACCTAGATATCCCCTTACAGAAGGGTCACAAGGAAGAGACGAGCCAGTCAAGGTGCAGTGTAGCAATGATGAAACATATTTAAAAAAAAAAAACCGACAAAAAAAGAGAAAAGCCTGTAAATAGTTCAAGGCCTGTTTGTTGACTTTTAGAAGTGTTTTCCAGTTGAGTCTGAGGGGGTGCCATGCCCTGGCCCCACAGTCTATTTTTGGTATTCCCTGGGGACTTCGTTGATCTGTTCCCTTGCTATTCCGTTACACACCCTGTGTGGTGGGATCAGATTGGGCACAATTCCCACACTGTGTCTCCAGTGTTGTGCCCCCTAGCACTATGAGTCAGTGAGGGATGTAGTGTCTTGTAGTGGGGCCAGCCCTATGGTCCTCTCTGTGCTTTGGCTGCTCTGAGCAGGAATATCGTCCTGGGGGCTTGGTGGGCCAGGTTGTGTTCCATTCTCTCTTCCTCTCCCTTCATCTGCACCTGTGTGCTCTAATCAGTCATCTCCCTCCCTGAACTGTAGCTTCAGTGCTGTGCTCTGAAGTGAATTCTTCTGCGGGGAGAGGGGTGGCTGTCCACGTAATTGGGATTGGGGCCGGCCCCTCAGCCCTCTCTATTGCTTCCCAACCCAGAGAATCTTTCAGTCTTGGAACTTGAGGCTTGGATTTTTTTTTTCTTCCGTTCTTTGAGCTTGAGATATGCTAACTGGGTGGGCTCTTGTCCCTTTTGGTTTCCTAATTCCAGGTCTTTGGACATTTCATTATAATGCTTTACTTTTTCTCTGTTCGACTCTTTTATTTAATGATTTCTTCCATCTACTTTAACGACTTTACATCCAAGAGAAGGTTTCAGAGTCTCTCCCTGGGGTGCTGCTAGTGTAGTGAGTTTTGAGTTGGGCTACTAACTGTGAGGCCAGTTCAAACTCACTAGCTGCTCTGAGGGAGAAAGATGAGGCTTTGAGGTTTTCTACCACCATAAAAATGAACTCACTGGCAGTGAGTTTGGTTTTGGTCTGACACTCATTTTGCTCTTTTCTTGATCTTCTTCGTGACCTTTTGCTTTCGTCGTGAATAATGTTCTTGATGTCATCTCCTAACTTATTAGATCTTCTGTCAGTAGTGTTCAATTTGTCAAATGTGTTCTTGAGATGTTTTCTGAATTCTGGAGAGATATGCTTAAGGTCGTATTTTCGCTCACTTGGACTTTAATTTTTGTTTCGTTTTTGACATATGTTTGACATGAACTTGTACGTCACTAAAGACCCCAAATCTGCTTCTGTTTTATTTGTCCTCCTTTTATAGCCACTCAGACCAATGTTTAGATCAGAGGCAGAAGGAATCTGATCGGTTTTGAAGGCTGTGAGCCTTCACTCTTCCTCTCTCTCAATTATTTATTTATTTATTATCTCAATTTTAATTGTATTCATTTATTTTGGTTTTTAAGGAAAAACATGTTCTGTGTAGCGGCACAACCCTTCTCATCAAATCAAATCAGTAATAGTACCTACCCTAGGACTTTAATTTTCTTTAGCTTGACCCTGAACTTGTATATGTGTAATTGATGACCTATTGCACAGTCAATCCCTGGCCTTTTTGTAGCTGATGATATCGAGTTTCTCCATTATCTCGTCTTCCAGATGTAGCCCGTTTCATCCCTGTGCATTCCATCTGATGGAGGTGTCCATGTATAGTCACGTGATTGAAAAAGGTATTTGCAAGGCAGAAGCTGTTGGTCTTGCAAAATTCTATCATGCGATCTCTGGCTTTGTATCTATCACCAAGGCCATATTTTCCACCCACTGGCACACACACACACTTTTTTTTAACTTTCTAATTCCAATAATCAGGAATTATCGATGTATGTTGTTTGCATGGTTGAACAATTTCAGGAAGAAGAAGCTGGTGGAACTGTTCAGTTTCTTCAACATTGGCTTTAGTGGTTGGTGCACAGATTTAAATAATAGGTTGTGTTAACTGGGTTTCCTCGTAGACATATAGATATTATCCTCTCCAAGACTACATTATACTTCAGGATATATCTTGAAATGTTCTTTTTGATGATGTATGCAAAGCATTCCTCTTGAATTTGTCATCTCCAGCAGAGTAGACCATATGAATGTGAAATTCAAAATGATCGGTACCAGTCCCTTTCAGTTCACTAAGATATCGATCTTTGTGCATTCCATTTCACCTTTGAAAACCTCAAATTCTTCTAGCTTCATATGTCTTACAACACCCTTCTGATTAGTTATGGATGTTCCCAGCTGTTTTCTTCTCATTTTGAGCTGTGTCTCACCAGCAAATGAAGGTCTTGAACGTTTTACGCCATCTATGTTGTTAAGGCCAACTCTACTTTGAGGAGGCAGCCCTTCCCCAGTCGTATTTTTCAACCTGAGGGGCTCATCTTCTGGCACTGTATCAGACAATATTCTGTGACTCCTCATAAGGATTTTCGGAGACTAATCCCTCAGAAGTGAACAGCTCATTGCTTTTTCCTAGTCTGTGCGTAGGCCGGAAGCTCTACTGAAATCTGCTCCCCATGGTTGACTCTGTAGGTATATGAAAAACTAGTTGAGTGACATGGCATCACAGCAACACACAAGCCACCCCAGTATGACAAAGTGACAGACAAGTAATGTCTTTGTTACTTAAACAATTGAGGTATATTTGACATGCACTAAAATATACAACCACCCCTTGTCCGGCCCTCTGTAGTACTATGGTGGTGCTGTGGTGCTGAAAGCCAGGCCGCTGGTATTTCAAATAACAGCAAGGTCTCCTGGCCTTTCTTCCTTGTCCTGCTTAGTCGGGACACATTGAAACGTGCTTCCTAGCAACCTGCACTCCTCCACTGACAGGCAGGTAGTCACTGCCAATGGAGACTCACACCCCGGTCCTCCGCTTGGAGAGCGATCGCTCTGACCCCCTCAAATGACATGGAAATGCAATCATGCAGTTTGTACTCTGGGCATCCCGCTTCTTTCTGAGCCCCTGGCCCCACCTTCATCTTATGAAAGGAAAGGTGCAAGAAAGAAAGCGGTTTCCTTCTCCTCCTCTGGACTGGGCTGGGGGCTGGGGAGGCGGCTCCTCCGTCGCCCCCAGGTCGCACAGCTTGGGTCTGAGCTGAGCAGGCCCCAGGCTTCCTGTGGGGGGGTGACGGCCACGACCTGACCTGAGACTGCCCCTCCCTGCACCCCACAGGCTGAACGAGAACATGTCGGTGTGCGTGGCGGACTTTGGGCTCTCCAAGAAGATCTACAACGGGGACTACTACCGCCAGGGACGCATCGCCAAGATGCCAGTCAAGTGGATCGCCATCGAGAGCCTGGCCGACCGCGTCTACACGAGCAAGAGCGACGTGGTGCGTGGTGCCCCCTGGCGGCAGCGCGGAGCCCTGCGCGCGGGGACGGGGCCCGTGCGCCCCGCCCACCGCGCTGCGCCTGCGCAGCCCGGCCCGCAGCCCGCGGGCACGCCGGGGCTCCCGTGTTCACATTGGCTAGCGTGCGTGCCTGGGGGTGTGGTCAGCGTGAATGGTGCCGCCTACACGCTGGGGATGGGATCTTGGAGGCAGGTTCGTTCTGGGCGGTGGGTATACAAGGGCAGGCAGAGTTGGAAATAGCGGCGGAAGCGAGCTGGCTTTGTCGGTTCCCGGCATCAGAGCGCGTGTGGAGGGCCCTGGGTGAGGACACACCTGGGTGTGGACACACCTAAGCCTGCACCGAAGTTCCATTTGTGCTCCATGAATAACAGTTATACCTGAGTGCACAGGGGCACCCAAAGCGAGGGTTCACCTATGAGCCTGTGACTGCAGGGGTGGGTCTTTGTGCAGGAAAGGCCGTCTAACCCCATCTGTTCTTCCCCCCCTACAGTGGTCTTTTGGGGTGACAATGTGGGAGATTGCCACGCGGGGCCAAACGCCATACCCAGGTGTGGAGAACAGCGAGATTTATGACTACCTGCGCCAGGGAAACCGCCTGAAACAGCCTGTGGACTGTCTCGATGGACTGTGAGGATTTTTGCGCTCCCCACCCCCACTTTGGCCAAATCCCAGAATTCAATCTTAACCACCACCACCATCACCCATGATCACCCTATTGGCCCTGACTTTATCAAGCCTTGACAAATTCCCCTGTCCCCTCCCCAACACTTTGAGTAAGACCTCTGCTAACCAGTGGGGGGCAGGTTAACAAAAGATGCCCTCTCCTCCTTGGCCAGCTGGTGTAGACTGCAGGCCAGACTGGCTGTCAACACCAGGCAACATTGTGCCCAATTTCCCAATGTTACCTGGAGACCCTGCCTCTCAGACTCCCAGTTCCGGAGACTTCTAATTCATCCCAGACTCCAGAGCTCCTCTTGCCTCCCTCATTGCCATTTAAACACCCGGGGAACCTCAGGCCACCCTTCAGGTCACTCTGCTGACCTTCTCTAGTCCCTCACACCCCCTGTGATATTCTCAGGACCCCTTAAGGCAGGGGTCTTCAAACTTTTAAAACAGGGGGCCAGTTCACTGTCCCTCAGACCTGTTGGAGGGCCAGAATATAGTTTTAAAAAAAAACAAAACTATGAACAAATTCCTATGCACACTGCACATAACTTATTTTGAAGTAAAAAAACAAAAGGGGGAAAAACAACCGGCGGGCCGGATTAATGTCCTCAGCGGGCCACATGTGGCCCGTGGACTGTAGTTTAAGGATACCTGCCTTAGGGCAATGCCAGATCTCTGCATGCAGATAGGGGGTTCATGGATCCAGCACTTTATGCACGGTTGCTGGTTCAAGCCCATCAGCCACTGTGTGAGAGAAAAATGAGGCTGGCTGCTCCTGCAAAGACTGACTGCCTCAAGAAACCCGAGGGAGCAGTTCTAATCTGTGCTATAGAGATGCTAGGAGTCAGAGTCAATGGCAGAGAGTTGGGTGTGGTGGGGAAAAAGAGGCCATTGCTGGGGTGAAAGGATCATGGGTATTTGAGCCACTTAAATCTGAAGAGTGAGAATCATCACTAACATTCCATAGCATGTTACCAGAAGGCACTGTTTTGTCTATTAATTCACGTGGTCCAAACCACAGCTATGTAACGTAGTAGGTAAAACCCAGCAACCAGCGGATGTTGAATCAATCCCAAGTCATGGTGTTGGGTCTCAGGGAAGAATTCTACTCTAGTGGGTTTTCACCGGCTGGTACTTCAGAAGCGGGTCACCAAGCCTTTCTTCTGAGGCCCTTCTGGGTGCACTTGAACCACCCCCCTGCCAGTCAGCAGGCAGTTGGGCACCACCCAGGTTGGTTAGGTACCATATTTTCTCACTTTGCACACCATGAGACTGACGCCCACGTTTTGGGCAAGAGAGCCACTCCTAAACTGACCAAGTTAGCCAGACCTCAAAAGTTAGCAACTTCCAACAAGTCTTTAGGAACTCATCGTTTTTGAAGGTCAAGAGTCTAGAAATCGCTAGAAGGGTCCCTAATGGGGTTTTGGCCAAGCTGGCTGCTGGGGTGGCGGTCTATCCGAAGCTGGGCCTGGAAGCCGTTTGCAGGATGGCTCACGCGTGTGGCTGAGGCGGGCGGCCATGCGGTTCTTTTCCGTGTTGCTGCTTGAGCTTCCTCACAGCATGGCAGCTGGCTACAGCCCAAGAGGAAGCCCAGTGCTCTGTGTGGCCTAGCCTCAGGAGTCATCCCCACCGCCACGTCTGCCTCCTTCTCTTTGTTCGTAGGGAGTCATCAGACCTGCCCACAGTTGAAGGCAAACAGGAATGACGCTCCATGTTTTAAATTGAGAGGTGTCAAAGAATTTGCAGACACATTTTATTGTATCATGATGAGTTTGTCAATCATTTTAGTGGGAGGCCTTAACAGAGAGCGTCACCCTCCATCGTTCAATTGCATCAGGTGGTCTTGTTGCAGACTCATTGTCAACCAGCATGGCTTGCAAGGCACAGGGCCAGGCTCCCATGCCACAGCCTCTTCTGGAGATCTCCCCCAGGCTGCTGTCCTATAACCACCACCGTGAAATTGCCACCCACACCCTGAGAACTTCCCCAAGATCAGCTCCAACTCCTCAGGCTCCCAGGATCTCCCCTTAGAAACTCAGGAGAGTTCTCAAATGCCCAGAAGGACCCACTGTTCTTGAACGGATCCTGACACCCATTAACCCTCTAAGATTAAGTCGACCTGCGCCACAGGGTAGCCGAGGCTCTAACTCTTGACAGAGGCAGACTGCGTCATTCTCCCAAAGAGCACCTCGTGGGTTTGAACCACCAACATTGAGGTTAGCAGCCCAATGCTTTATGCACTGTACTCTCAGGGCCCCGTAGGCCCATTCTCCTGAGTGCCCGAAGATGCTCCCAGCTCCCAGAATCCTCCCCTTCCGAGCTCCTGATCGACCTCCCACCCTTCATTTGCTTGCCCTAGGTATGCCCTGATGTCCCGTTGCTGGGAGCTCAACCCACGAGACCGGCCGAGCTTTTCAGAACTGCGGGAAGACCTGGAGGATACACTGAAGGCCTTGCCCCCTGGCCAGGAGCCCGACGAAATCCTCTACGTCAACATGGATGAGGGTGGGGGTTGGGCTGAACCCCTTGGAGCTGCTGGAGGAGCTGACCCCCCCACCCAGCCTGACCCCAAGGATTCCTGCAGCTGTCTCACCTCAGCCGAGGTCCATCCTGCCGGACGCTATGTCCTCTGCCCATCCACAGCCCCTGGCCCCACTCTGCCTGCCGACAGGGGCTCCCCAGCATTCCCAGGGCAGGAGGATGGAGCCTGAGACAACCTTCCACCTGGGACTCCTCTCAGGACCCAAGCTAGGCACTGCCACTGGGGGGCCCTGTCCCCCTACCATTCCCTACTTGCCCACTCCCAGGCCTGTCCTCCACCTGCACCCCTCTTTTCCTATCCATTTCACCTCCATCCCAGACATCTCCTTCTCTGGGTCTTGGTGTCCAACTCTGCAAAAGGCGGTTGTTGGACTGCAGGCCTCATGAGACCTCCCAGGCCTAACATTCCAAGATTCTAGATTCTGAGGTCCAGAGAATCTAGACTCAAAGGTCCTCGATTTCAAAGAGTTTTTGGTTCCAAGGACCGGTCATTCTAGTCTCCAAGGCAAACATTCTAGACTTGGAGTTCCGATGGCCTAACATTCTAAACTCTGAGATTGTATGGTTCTAACAGTTCTTGTTTTAAGATTCTTGATAAGGGCTACCACGGTGTTAGGTCCTAAAGCACTGTGACTCTAGTTCTAAAATCTAAGACTTCGGGTTAGATTTTATCTTCCTAGGATTCTGGGTTCTTACAGTATAAGATTCCAGATTCTATCCTAGAGAGTCTACAATTCTAGACCTAGAGAGTCTAGGGCCTAATCTTCCAAAACTTGATGTTCTAAGGCTGTTAGAGTCTGGAGCCTCCCGCTGTAAGACTCTGACTCTAGACCCGATGACTTCAAGATCTACTCTCCATTTCTAATATTCTAATAGTGGTCAGTCCTAAGGCTTTATGATCTTGAGTTCTCAGATGAGATTCTAGAATCAAGTTTCCAGACTCGAATCACGGCGATTCAAAAATCTAATAGTCTTAAGATGTGCTGGTCTAAGAAGATAGATTCAGTGTCTAGATCATGTTTCACAATTCTAGATTATTCAACCCTGAGATCCTAATGTTGGTCTGTTCTACGCCAAGGTACCCTAGAGTCCACTGTTCTAAAACTCTGGGTTCTATGCATCTAAATTTCTAAGACACTCACAGTTGTACATTTCTAAAATTCTAGAAGCCAAAGGTCTAGTCATTTCTAATGTCGCACACCTCTCGGTTCTAAGTTACATTCTTTCTCTCTAGGATTTCTGTTCTGCAGAGTCCAAGAAGCCACACTTCTACCATTTTAAGATTTGAGGCACGGTAGTTCTAAGACACAAATGTTCAAAGTTTCTAAGACCCTACAGGCCCACAGACCTATGATAGTGGTACGGTTTCAAGGTTCTAGGTCCTTAGTATTCTGGGTGCTCTCCCCTTCACCACCTCTGCTTCCTCCCCCCCTTCTGTGGGGTATGCCACCCTCAAGCCTGTGCAATGCATTAAGGATGCCTCTTTGCTCCCAGGGGGATGATCTTCCCTTTGGGGGTCATGCTGCCCCCCCTGAGCCAGTCCCTGTGTGTGGACTCTGGTGCCTCTAGGGTTAAGGTCACATAAAACGGTATAACCACACGTCCGTCTCTTCTTGTCTCCAGCAGTGATGTGGACCCTCTCCCTGCCAACCCAAGTTTCCCCGTCAATAAAAAGTCTGGTCTGGGAGGGTCTCAGAGTGCTCCCCTCACTAAAGAGCTGCACAAGAGGATGGATGTTAGGTACCGTCATATTGATGCTAGCTCAGCAACCCTGGGTACAAGCACTGCCGGGTCCTGCTCCCTCCCCACAATTATTCCCATTGTAGCCACTGGGTCAATCCATCATGTCCAAGGTCTTCCTCTTTTCTGATGGCCTCTTATTTTCACCAAGCATGCGGTCCTTTTCCAGAGACTGGTCTCTCCTGATAGCATGTCCAAAGACCATAAGCTGAAGTCTCACCACCCTCCAGTCTGCACGTCTTCCAAGACAGAGGTGTTGGGTCTTCTAACAGTGTATGACACTTTCCATAGTCTTGCCAGCACCATAATTCAAAGGAATGAATTCTTCATTCCTCCTTAGCCAGTGTTAACTTTCAGATGCTTATGAAGTAATTGAAAGATACCATGGCTCGCGTCAGGCGCACCTTAGTCCTCAAAGTTAGCCATCCTTGCTCTTCCAACACTTTAAAAGAGGTCTTGTGGCAGATTTCACCAATGCAATATGTCACGTGGTTTCCTGACAGCTGTTTCTATGAGCCTTGATTGTGGTTCCAACTAAGATGGATACGAACCTGCCTACAGAGACACAGACTCTCAAACCCACAAGGAGGTGTGTTTGGGACACAGATCCAAGGGCACACAGAAACAGGCACATGAATCAATGGGCACCTTCAGGCCCACATACAAGATTCTGAAAGAGACACACAAAACTCACACAGCATACACCTATTGACAAACATGGGGTGGGGCGAGGGGGACCTCAAGAGGAGCACAGATACACATAACCAATCCCCAGTAAATAGCACAAATACTCGCAAGGCTCCGAGTCTAAGGCATGCACAGATTGACAGAAACGCGGGCACACAAAGGGACTCCCGCCAAGACAAGCCTCCTGTGTCTAGCAACTCTGCGTGAGCACTTGTTCTGAGCTAGCGCAAACCGTGGCTGTGGGGCCTGTTGGCAGCACCCGGACGCCCTCAAGCGGCGCCTCCCGGAACCGGGGACAGTTCAATCCGGGCCACAAACTTTGGGAACAAACCGTCGTGCGGAGCGGGGAGGAGAGAGGAAGCCGTGCGTAGGCGAGGGGTGGGGTGTCTGGACTGGAAGCTCCGAGCCCACGTGAGTGTCTGCCGCGTTCCTGAGTGGGTGGCGCGTGTCTGGGTTGCTGGAAGGTTGCATTGTGACCGTCGTGTGTGTGTTTTTATCGTTGGAGCCGCCTACCTGTGCTGACGTTAGGGCGCGCGTTGGCTCTGCACTTTGATGTATTGTGCCCTGAATTGATGCATGCGCCGTAACCGATTACCCTTCGAGGTCGTTGTCAAAGTTGAGGCTCTGAGCACGGGGCGGTCGCTTCGGGTATCTCGATTGCGTGTCTCGTGGACGTTGTGTGACACTGTCGAGTAGAGGCGACAGGTGGTGGGAGCGCAGATACAAACCGTGGCGTTTGCTCACGAAGGTGCGGCTTCATTACACAGCGGCGCGTTTGAGGTTGTCTGTGTGGTCGTTACCCAGATGAACCCAACAAGATTTGCTTTAGACGCTAACGTTTGGAGGGTGTGGGATGAACGGAACCCAGGACTTCTGGAGGACTTGCTGCAACAGGGCTCTATGGTCGCGTGCAGAGCGCCCCTTCCACGTAAAGCACCGACCATAGAGACGAGGGCCACACAGCCCGGGAAGAAAGGCACTCGGTGAGGTGTAGGGTCCGGGGTTGGGGGGGGGGCGACTTCCTGTACGACTTTTACCCCGTTACTCTAGCTTCTTTTTTCAAGCCTTCAGGACGCTGAAGTCTACACTTGAGAAGCAGTTGAGTTTACCACACATTAAACATGGCTTATTGGCTTGAATGTCTCTTTGCGGGTTACATCCCTCCACAGCGGGGCTCTCGAAGCGCCCCTCGGCTGACCCGCCAATCTGGTTAGCTGGCCTAAGGCGGTCCGCTTTATACACGCACTGGCTTCGGCGAGATAAGACGGCGACTGGGATTGGTGCGCAGATTGTTTTGAAACCGCCCTAACGGCAATGGGCGGGGCCTCCGTGACTTCCCTCTCGTTCCGCTTTCTTAAAGGCAACAGAGGGAGGCGGGGCATATGACGGTCGTGCGTTTGATTGGTTGGAGTGGCAGCCTCGCCTGGGTTTCTCAAGGGGCGGGAGATCTAGGCCAATCAGAATGTGTGTTACGGAGACGCTACTCTGATGAAAGGACGGCACCGGAAAGACTGTGGGGCGCTCATTCTGAAATCTCCTTGCTGATTGGTCCAAGTCTTTACTCCCTTTCCTTTATCTGACTTCACGGGAGCTGGCGCGCGCACGCTGCCCAATCCGTGTGCGCTCCGCCTCCGGACTTTTCCCGCCCTCCCCTTCAGTCGCGGTACCGACGTAGACCAACGCTTCCTCCCCGGCAGCTCCCGGGACCTTTCATTGCCGGGCTTTTGAAAGCCGCGTTCTGATTGGCTGGCTCCCCGGACCCGCGCCCGTTGCCCCCGGCGCAGTGGCCAATCGGCACTCGCGTTGCATCGCACAGACCCGCGGGTGAGGAGGAGGCGGCAGCCATTTTGAGCCGCTGCCGCCATTGGAGTGGGGCCCCCCCTCTCCCCCTTTGCCTCCTGACAGGAAAGGTTTAAGGGGGACAGAGCCCTGGGAGGCCGGGCCGGGCTCGGGGGCCGCCCCGGGGGCCCGGGCCATGGATGTGCGCCGTCTGAAGGTAAACGAACTTCGCGAGGAGCTGCAGCGCCGCGGCTTGGACACTCGCGGCCTGAAGGCCGACCTCGCTGAGCGGCTGCAGGCGGCGCTGGAGGCCGAGGAGCCCGACGACGAGCGGGAGCTCGAGGCCGACGTCGACCCGGGGCGACCCGGGCACCACAACGAGGAGGTCGAGACCGAGGAGGGCTCCGAGCTGGAGGGGACCGCGCAGCCACCGCCGCCCGGGCTGCAGCCGCACCCGACGCCCGGCGGCTACGGGCCAGACGGACATTGTGAGAATGCGCGGGGCGGGGGCCGGGGAGGCCGGCCAAGGATGGGGCGGGGGCGGGGGCATCCCGCGGGCCGGCCCTGGGAAGGATCGAGGGGCCGGGGTCTCAGGATGACCGGATCTTGGCATCCGGCGCCGGGGCGATCCTGGAAGTAGGGGACCCTCGGTTGCGGAGATTAGAGAGGGGTGTCGTGGATTCCGGAGCGCCGGTCCTGTGGACCGGAAACCGCGGTCTCCGGCCTCGGAAGAATAAGGGTCTTCTCGGGCTGGGGAGGATCGTGGACAGGGTCGGCCGCTGCACGGACGGCTGGGGGTCGGGGACCAAGCGTGCAGGCGGCGGGCAGCATGAGCAGGCAGTTAGGGGGCCGGGAAGAGTTTCGAGGACGGGGAGCCCCCGGAGTTTCCGGCGGGCTGGGAGCCCGCGATCGGCCTCCCTTGCCGTTGCTGTCGGAATGGGGCGGAGGGTTTGGAGAGCTGGAGCTCTTGGGGTCTGCGCTCGGGGCGGGTCTGATGGACCCGAGACTCTGGGATTTGGCCGGAGGACATTTAGAGACTGCCCGAGACGCGAGTGTGATGGGAGTTTGGGGACCCACATTGCTCTGAAGATGGGCGTGGGAACTTTTCGAATCCAGAGTTTAGGACCAACCTGAGCAGGATATTGGAGCGGGGCGGGGCGGAGAGGGGCATCATCTGGTTACCTGCTGGAGGAGGCAGAGGGAACCTGGGTTGCCTGCCAGAGAGGGGGACCAGGGGTCCAAAAGCTGAGCTGGCTCCGAGAGCCAGTGCATTCAGTGGCCACAGCTGAAGAGCCCGGGGTGACCAGGCTGGAGTGTTGGGGAGCAGGGGCAAACTGCCTGTTGGGTGGGGTTCGAAAGCTGTGAAGTCTCTGGAGGATAGGCTTCTTGCCCAGCGTGCGATGGGGGAGGAGGAAAAGTCTGACGACTGAGCGTGGGGGTGCTTCTGGACTAGAACCCGGGCCTCCCAGGCACTTAGTTAGGTAGGTAGTTCGTTCGTTACTGGTAGGCCTGGGGCATGCCTCAGCCAGGAGGGGTGGTGCTGGGGAGGAGGGGCAAAAAGGACCGGAGGGTGGAGTTTGCAGAGTTTAGGAGTTAAGTGGGAAGGACACTGGAAGGGTGGGGGGGCTGCATTCCTTTGAAAAGAGGGAGTCCTGGGGCTTGGAGCGAAGGGACCCAGAAGGAAAAACCGATCGTGGAAGAGTTGAGATTTGAGCTTGGCACCAGCACTTGCTTTTGAGAGATGGGCCTTCATGGAGTGAGGACCAGAGGGCAGATGTGGGGCTGGGAAGGCTGAGGATTGCCCAGGACCCAGGGGCTGGGAAGAGGAGTGGCCTAGTGGGCATGTAGAGAAGTGGGGTGGTTGGGGACTGCGGGGGATGCAGACACAACACCAAGGGGTCCTGACTGGGCACCTGAGGCAAGGGAGGCGAGGGCAGCAGAGCCCTCTTGACTCATAGGGACTAAGCTCTGTGATATGAGCAGACCTCCTCCTGGCCGGGAGACCTGGGGACAATGGCATACCCTCCCAGGACCGTTCTGAGTGAGATCCCCAGAAAGGGGGGGGGGGGCTTAGCACTGGTTTGCCTACTGTTAGAAGACTCCGAAGAGTCCCTGCGTTCCATTTAATGGGGTTCTATCCCTGCCCCCCCCCAAAAAAAAAGCAGAAGCTTCGGAGAACCCTCAAGCCCCCTCTCCCCAACCCTTTCTTCAGCCTTGGTAAGCAGACTGGCATGGTAGCCAGCCAAGTGACTTAGGACTTGCCTCCCGTTGGGCCCAGATGTATTTGTCCTCTGAGGAAGGATCCAATCAGCAGGTGGCAGAGCAGCCCCCCCCTTCCCTGTGGCTTTGCCTCACTGTTCCGGGCAGGGCCCTGGAGGCACTGAGCAGAGACCTGCCTCTGGGAGGCAGAGCCAGAGAGGCATCCTTACCTTCTCACCCATCTCTCTGGGAAGTCCTCCCGGAGGAACTCCTGGGTCATTGCTGTGGACTTAGTCTCGCCCTGCCTTTCACCTCTGCGATCCCAGCCCTCAGAACGGTCACCATCCTCATCACCGAGCTACTGCCTAAGCTGCCTTTAAGTCACTGCTATCTACCACTGTCTTGGTTATTACTATGGTATACCACCCATGTTCTCCTTGGTAGACCGTAACACATCCATAACTAGTGTTTTTTAGTAGAGTTAATTGTTTAACATGTGATGCGCTTGTCTTATTAAACTGAAGGTTTCTCTGGAGCAGCTTAGCCTCCACTGTATCCCAGGGTCTGGAGTACAGTTAATGCGCTCAAAGAATAGTTAATATTGTTGCTCTTACCACCCTAACCTTTCAAATCTTGCCCAGATCCTTGCAGTCTAACTCATTATCATTTGGGGCTTATCCTGAATGGGTGTGAAGGCATCTTATCACGATCCTTGTTTTCATAACAGCTCTTCTCCTTCCTCCCCCAGTTACCCTTCATCTGCTCAGTATGGTGACCCTTCATCTCTGACAGCTAGTACAGGGTGGAAAGGACTCAGAGAGGTGGGCTGTGCAGGAGGAATGGTGAATGGAGCTGCACAGAGGGCTAGTTAAAGCTCCAGTTTATAAGGTGTGTCCTGGAGGTAACTCCCTAGGCATTTGCCATCGTATTGGCAAGAAAACAGCTAGGCTGACGGTGCCTACGCTGTGCTTCCTGGAGTCCCAGGTTATGTAGAGGGACCTCCACCCCAGAGGAGGGCTTGGTGCGGATGTTAAGCAGAAGCCCTCTTTAGACACTCCCATCTCCTTCCTTCGGCCAGAGTAGTCTGTTTCTGTCAGTTCTGCGTGTCAGGGTTCTCTAAATCCTCCCCCTCAGGTAGCATCTCAGGTAACCTTTTGAGGGGCAAGAGAATATGCTTAATCCGCTCACTGCCCAGATAGTTGGCTCAGTGTTGAAGTTGTCCAGATGGGAATGGCGTCATGTGCCATGGAAGGAGCCATCTCTGGTCCAGGGCCCTCTTCTAACTGGTCATGTTTCGTTTGTTTTCTTTTAAGATGTCATGGACAGTATTACCAGGCAGAACCAATATTATGAGAGCCAGGTCATCAAGCAAGAGAACGAGTCAGGCTACGAGAGAAGACCGCTGGAAATGGAGCCTCAGCAGCAGACCTATCGCCCAGGTGGGAAAGCCCAGGTCTTTGTGTGTGTGAGGGGGTGGGGTGGGGGGAACGACACCAGAGTCTACATATGGACCATTTTCCTCTCTCTCCCCAGCCCAGTCTTCCCAGAGAGATGGTGCATTGTCCTCTAGGCTAAGTTTTCAGGCTTTGTTAAACTGGGGAGTTGTTTTTCAAAGGAATGAGCTCAGTTCGACTCCTGAGTGTTGAGGAAAGGGCGGCTTCATGATATCAGCTTTCAGATGGTGGGACCAACAACCTTGAGAGGTTTGGGCCTGGAGAACAATGTCTGCGTCTTACTTAGAATCTTGGAATGTGGAAGCCAGAAAGGACCTTCTAAATCAAGTCTAACGTTTCCCGCACTGTTCTGAAGAATATTGTTCTGAGACGTGTTATCAGGATCCCCACAGAGAAGGTCAGTTGGCCAAAACTGTGTTGTAGCGTAGGGCATCACCTAGATTCCTGAGGGGTAAACATCAGGATCAGCACAGGACTAGTTCCTGTGAGGTGGTGGTCGAACACCTCTCTGCTCCCCCAGCTTCTCCACCGTTTCGGAGACTGCGCCTCTGCTGGCTTCAGTAGCAGTGGCCACCCAGAGTTCACAGAACGTTCTCACAGTTAAGTGGTGCGTTAAGGAAGTAACAAGCTACAACATAGGATCAGGATCCACTTGGAAGTAACGGGAATAACTCAGGATCAGAAAGCCCAGTGAGAGGTCTGAAGGAGGCACCCTCCCGTGTGGAAAGAGTACATGCCCCTCTCCTCCAAGCAAGGCCACCTCTCCTGGCTCCTTTTCTCACCCTCTTGGCACACCTTTTCCTCTCTTGTCTCTGAAACCTTTCTGTAACTGACAGCTTTTATGAGCCTCCTAGCAGGACCAAGCATTCACCAATCCCTGAAAAGTGTATTGAACAGATCAGTCACAGGGAACATACTGCAGCTTAGGGTCAGGCTTGTTCAACCACCAGGAAACGTCAAACAACCCAGACAAAAGTAACAGATTCTTTGGGGTAGAAACCACCTTAGGAGTCCTCCCCATGACAAGTTGCTTCTTCAAAGAACTAGGGCAAAATTAGCACCTTGGGGCTTAAGAAGGTAGTCTCCAGGGGTTTTCCCAAAGAACTAAGGGAAAAGGCCACTTAGAGAGACTTATTTTCCCAGCACAAGTGAATTCGGAAGGTGCTGTAGATGCTGTACCGCCTCTTACAAAGTCATGGGCTCTTTCATGCCTCTCCATCATGCAACAGAAAAATCCTGTCTTAACCCTTCGTTCTGTAAGCATTTAAATAAATAATACCGTTGCACAATAATGGTCCCCATAAATGCCAGATTGGCAAATAAAGTTGCACGTCCCACGCCACCGCCACCCCCCCACCCCCAAAAAAAGACAAGACAAAGGACAACTCATTGCCACAGTGTAGGAGCTGGCTCGGCCGCCCTGTAGGACAGAGGAGAGCTGCCCCTGTGGGTTTCTGAGGCTGGAGCTCTGTATGGGAGCAAGAACCTCTTTCCTTGGAGTGGCAGGTGTTTTAGAACAGCTGACCTGCAATGAGCAGCCCCATAGGTGACCCATTACAGCACCAGGGCTACTCATTGTCCTCCGGCTCTCCTGTTTTACCACTGGGGAAAGGTGGACTAAGGTAACGGCCAGGGAGGGCAAGAATCGGGAACACCAGCCCCGGGCCGGCGCTCTGTTAATAGGCTGCATCCTGGGTCCTTAACGCCTTATTGTCTGGGAAATAGGGCCCAGTGTTGGGCCCCAGTGCGCTTTTAGCACACAGAGGTGTGGGTAGCGCAGGGCTTTAATGGCTGTGGAGTAAGCTGCAGCTCTGGGTCAGTCTGTGGGACATGGGATCATTTGGCCCAATGAGGTTCTATTTGTGTGTGTGTAATCAGGGCCTTCTCGTGACCATTGAGGCCACCAGAGCCCCTCCTTACCCTGGAGACCCGAAACCTGGTCTGAGGCCATTGCTTTTGTCAACTAGTCAAAACCAGTGAGCGAGCTCCGCGGTGGAGGGCAGAGCTGTAGTGGGTAGGCACGGGAAGGCGCCAGCCGAAGTGCACAGTTTGTGCTCGGCGAGGTGCTCGGCTTGGTTTTGACTTGAGACCGAGATGATGTTCCCAGGGGTCCGCAGCGCACCATCCACTCCAGCTCCCTGCCTGTGGCGTGACTGGATGAGGTTCCCACACTTGGGGAGAGGCTCGGCCTCAGATGCTCCCTCCAGGGCGACTGGCCTCTGCTAGGACAAGCCCACAAGTTGACTGCAGTATCCCACCCTTGCCCTGTCCTAGCTGCACTGAAGCAGCTTTGCAAGAACTGAGATGGGGCTTTGTGGGGGGTGAGAAATTGGAGAACATAGAATGTGGCCTGCCAGTTTAATGGGCTCTTAGGGGCCTTCTCGGGCCCCTTCCCACTAGGGCTTGTGTGCAAGGGAGCCAAAGGCAGTTGCCCCGCCTCTGCTGGGTCTTCAGAAAGCGTCCTTGAATGCTGAAAGCCCCTTCACCTGACTGACGCCTGTCAGCCCACCAAGCACCTACTATCCGGCTGGCCATCCCCAGCCTGCTCTTCATCCTGGGCCTTGTCTTCAGTGGGGCTCTCTCTCGCCTCACAGCAAGCTTACACTGAGCTCGAATTGTGCCCAGCCCTTCACTGATCTAGGCAGGCCCCTGTCAGCATCTCCTGAGGGAAAGGAGACCGGAGAGGTGGTGGCTGAGGAGTTTGTGCCGTGACCTTCTCTCCTTGTCCTGACCGTAGAAGTGAAGACAGAGATGAAGCAAGAAGCACCCGGCAGCTTCCTCCCCCCTGAAGCATCTCAACCCAAGCCAGACAGGCAGCAGCAATTCCAGAGTCGCAAGAGGCCTTATGAAGACAACCGGGGACGGGGGTACTTCGAGCACCGAGAGGACAGGAGGTGCGTGTGGGAGGCCTCTGGGGCCCTTGTTTTGGGGGTGTCTTTTGGGGTCTAACAACAGCGTGGGGGCGGTCTCCCTGTACTCACTACCAGACACCCCACCCACCCCCTTTCCCAAACTTGGAGCCCTCACGAGCGTAAGGAAGAGCCTCCCTGTGAACTGGGGCTGGCAAGGGAGGACTCCCCGGGGCAAGTTTATTATGGAGGGGACTCCTTGCTACCACGCTCTAAGTGAGCCATGGATAGGTGGGCCGGGACAGCCACACAGCCCCCCTTACAGGTGTTTGGTAGGAACGTGAATCTCAAGTCATAATTTAGAACACTTTGGAAAGAGAGACTGAAAATATGGGTCATTTTGAAGCCTGGCTGATATGGAACCTTATCACGTATTGTGGACAGACTGAGGTGTATCTCAGAAGTGTGTGCACATTCCCTTCCCTGGCCCAGCATCCTGCATGCTCCCACAGCTGCCCACCCATCAGGTCTGCACGGAGGCTAGTCCAGGACACAGCGGGTATGGCCCGGGCCTGTGCGGTCCCAGGGTGACTAATGTCCCCTCTGCACCAGAGTAGAGTGTACCTTCTTGTCCCTGGCCTCACGCCCCAGGAATTTAACCACGGTTGCTCTCTTGAAGAAACAAGGGTTCTGGAGTTCTTTGGCTAACCTCGAAGGGAAGAGACAGAAGTCCAGGAAGTTCCCCCTTCCTTTTCCTGCTCCTGTGCTTGTCCAGCCGGCCACCCTGTGACCCGACCCCTCTTTCTGACACAGGGGCCGCTCTCCCCAGCCTCCAGCCGAAGAAGATGAAGATTACTTTGACGACACCCTTGTCGCGATTGATACCTGTGAGTCCTAGGTGCCCTTCTGTTGGTATTTGGGGAGTGCCTGGCACGCCCAGTGAGAGCGGCACAGTGGTTCTGGGCCAGAGGCCCTGGTTTTGGAGGCAAAAGACCAGCTGCCAGCTCTAGCTGTGGGGCCTTGGGCATGCCCTTCTCCTCTGAGCCTTTCTTGAGGGAGGGGACCAACCCTGCCCCAGTGCCTCAGAGAATTTACAGCAGGACGCAGAGTGGCTCAGAAAGCAGTTTGGGGAACTCTGAGCCACCGTGTGCGTGCACCCAGGGATTGTCATCTAATCAGGAGGGGAGTCTGAGTGCCTCTGCGGGAAACCTAGCTCTTTGACCACCACCTCCCTGGTTTCCGTCTGCTGCTCATGCCTGCTGAAACCAGCGACCCCCTGAGCTCCGCCTCCCTGTCCTCCTGTCCCCTTTCACGGTTTCTCCCTGCAGACCACCCTCTCCCCCGTCCCCAGAGGCCACGTATAATTGGGGAACCTGGTGTTTCCCCTGCACCCAGCAGCACAGCCAGGCCTGAGGGTTGGGGGTACCGGGAAGTTAGCGCGGTCTGAGGTCTGATGGAGCACGTCCCTCCTCTCTCGAGGTCTCAAAGACATGCTCCACCAGCTTGAGACTGAACATTCACAAAGGGATGTGTGGCTGGGGCCCGGGAAGCCGGACAGGTGCGGCCCATGGGCCCACTTATCCTTGCGGGACAAGTCGCTGGGGGCTAGCAGAGAGGGTGGGGACTGCTGGTGTGGGGCAGGGGTAGGTATTCAGGTCAGGTCCTCTGGCAACAGCGGCTGGGATGTAGGGCAGGGGTACTAGCCGCTTATATCTTGAAATGCCTTGCAGCTGGTGGCGATGTGGACTCTCACAAGTATACATGCTCATCAAAGGCCTTTGTGTATAATTTCTGGGGG